CCGGGGAGCGCCGAGGGGCGGGGCCGCGCCCTCCAGCGGCGCGGAGGGGGCCGGGGAGGCGGCGCATGCGCAGCGCGCCGCGGGCGTGTTCGCGCGCGCGCGGCCGTTAACGGCCGTTAGCCCGGGCTCGTTCTTGGGACGTTACTGGAGGAGCTGGGGGGAGGGGAGCATCTCCCTGCAGCGCCTTGCTATGAAGGAGCTGGGGCGCGCTGCGAGTCGGCCTGAAAGCCATGGATCTGTTAATTAAAGTTTGCCTCGCCCTAACGAGCTTTGTCACACTGGGGCCCTGTATGTGTGAGAAGGAAGATAAGCAGGGCCAGGTGCTGCCGGCCTACACTCAATCGGATTTCCCGAGGGGATTTAAGCCTCGGGTCACTACCTTAAAATAATTCCTTATGGCAGCATGGAAAACACTTTTTTTTTTTTCCCCTTAGCTCTTTAGGTCTTGCTAGGAAAAATAAAAGCAGTGCATAGCGCTCATCTAGTGCAGCTTTCAGAGCCCAAACCATGGTGGTTGGTGCCTGCCAGCTCAGCCTGTTGGGTGGGAGTAAGCACATTAGGGATCGTGCTCTCAAATACAATAAGCAGCCCTGTAGCAGGTCACCTTGAAGATGTATCGCGGTGAATCGGGCAACAGATGGCGGGTGCTACAAATCACCAGCCGCCGTCTTGGAGCGTGGAAGCCGTGAGGGAAGGGAGAGGGGAAGAGAGCCTCTATGGAGAGTGAGGGGATCAGGAGGAGGGTAGAGTGAATAGGAAAAAAATAGTAGGAAAATACCTTTGCAGGTGAATGAGTGGAGGGATGTACATGGAATGAGAGGGAAGTGCATTACCATCTGCTGCACAGGAGGCACAGCCATAAGTTTATTTCAGGTCTGGGGCTTAAGAGGCATATGCTGTGGGTTGTTAAAGACATAGCAGTAATAGACCTTTATACGTACCTTGGATAAGATTGTGATGCATACTCCACAACTAGACTTGAATATTTGTGGAGAATATGTATACAGAAGAGCATGCTCCAGCTATTCTACCACAAAGGGTAAAAATGAAAAACACTGCATTGGCATACAAAAGCAAATGAAGGGAGGACTATAGCCATGTATGTATCAGCCATAATTATATGTTTATTACACAGTGACATTGTGCCAAGGTTTTTTGAGTGTACACATATTACCAGGAATCCATTTGTTAAAATGAAAAAAAAAAAGAAAAAAAAAAAAAAAAAGAAAACCCACCACGCTTAAGTGCAATGTTGATTCTTTGTTTCCTGACCTTACAACATTTGTTTTGGAAATAATGACAGCATCCCTGTGATGTGTTCCAGTTTTACTCAGTCTTATCTCTTTAGCTATGTCTTTAGCATACTGTTCTGGTCTGGGGTTAATTTGTCCATATGTCCAGGACTTCTTTTCCTCCTTAGTTAGAACAAGAATCCTTCCTAAAGCACAGCCAGACACAAAATTGTTTTCAGGCCTTTAACTTTGAGCCTTACATAGGCGCTTACATAAAACATGGGGCATGGTCCTCCTGTTCAGGTGAGAGGCTGGACGCTGGCACTTTGTCATTGCATAGGGACAGCCCAATCCATTCTCCCCTTGGGTGCAACAAAATAGAGTGTAGAGAACTGTGTGCCTGCCGTTGTCCTTAGCCCCTTTGGCAGGTGACAGATAGCAGCTCTTCCAGGCTCCCATCCCTGCACTCCGTGGTCAACGTTTGCTTTGGAGCAAGGGGAGGCTCCAGCCTCCCTGGTCCAGTGGTGACATGAGCGACATGGCTGCTCCTTGTGCTAAACACAACCATCCCATGCAGACACCCGAGGTGCATCACACGTGGGTGTCAAGATGTATCAAGACACCAACAATTCCCTTGAAGAAAATCCCTGCATTTATATATAATTTTGCGTTATCAGTACTGCCTGTGGCAAACTTGGGATTTACCGAAGCAGAAAGGAAACAAAATGTTATTTACATGTGCAGAAAATGGTAAATACCTGCCAGTCCGCCCTAAAATAGTTCATTTCATGCTTACAGAACATGTTAAATAGACAATCATGCACGGTCCTAGACAATGTAAGTGAGAAGCCAGGGAAAACCAAATTAAACAAATACAAATCCATTCCAACAACCCCCTTAGTATGGAGTGGTTCTCCCCTGTTTTTCTAAGATTAGAGCTAAAAATCAATAGCTCTTTGGGGTTAAAAGTTTTAATGACCATGGAATTTCATATACATTAATTTTCCTCATTTTTTAACTTATGTAATCACAGTATAATGGATTCTGTTAAAAAAAAAGGACCTAGCTGCTGTTACTTTTGCACCCACAAAAGCAGTCATGGTGTGGACACGAGGCCAACATTGTCAGCTACAGTTCTGTCCAATTTATTGCTGTCTTGTGTCAGGCAAAATGACATTCCCACCTGCAAAACATTACTATATAGATCACTCGAAGCTGTCATCTACAGCAAAGCAAGTGGCAGAAACGCTCCATCATTCCAGTTTGCTGGCCCTTGATGCCTGAAACTTCTCCCTAATCTCATTAGCAGAGCCAAACTAAACCTGCCCTTTAAACGGTGAGGCAGTGAAGGGAGAAGGAGCGGCGCTGGGGGCGGTTTGCAGCCAGCCAGAGCCTGTGCAAATGCTTCTCCTGGATACCCGCTTCTGGGGTGGAAGGGATATTCAAAGGTCTAAATTTATCATTATCTGGGCAGCAGTAAGGTTTGAGAAGTTTGGAGGGGATATCTATAGAAACGCTCTATTTTTCCAAATGATTATCAACTTCTGCCCATGGGAAAAGCTTAAAGAAACCTTTCCAATGAGCAGCAGGTTAGAAGACAAATCCTCCTTGCGGGGGATTCTCACTCACTCTCCTGAGGGATCTGGCAGTGAATAATTCGGGAGAAACCTAGTGGCTTTGATCCACTTCACATGCATTGTGGTTGCTGTTCTGATTCACTCCAGGGTATCCACAAAGAATACACTTACCATTAGTAAGTAGACCTTTTAATCCCAAATACACTCTTCTTATACAAGGAAACCTTATCCTAGAGGAGGAATTAATTGCGGAGTCCCATCTAGAAGCAGCCTTACACTTTAATGTCCTTTCAATTTGCAGGTTAAGCTGTTGGCACCCAGCGGCGCAGGCTGGTGCCGCCAGCTCGTGGCTCGTGCCCGCATAGCACTCGTCCCAGCCCGTGCAGCCCCTGCCAAAGGCATCGCCTCCCTCGGGGCTTTCACATAACCCCTGTTACTCGCAGCACTGTAAAAACACAGTGTGATGCATCCCGTTACACAGATGCAGTCATGCTTCTGCACTTGATACCTGTGCATCTCTTTCTCTAGACGTTGGGATTTAAGATTAGGATAACATTGAAATCAGAAATTACACGTAAACCCATTTCAAATCTTTTAGCAGTGGCTTGTCGTATTATTCTACTGCAGAGCAGAAAATACGGTGCCTTCCTTCTGTGGTTTGTGAGTTTTTATATGAAAGTACTTGAGCTGGAGGCATCCGTAACTAAGAAAACTAACAAAACTAGCGACGAGGTAAAAAAAGAAAGTAGGAAAAGTGTCAACATTTCAACATTGGGAGGAAAATGCTTTTATACTATTCTAAAGTGAATTCTTGTTTAGAGTGAATGTTATAAAAATAAATCATCTTTTTAAATTATAAGGCAGGAATCATTTAACTAACAACAATAGCCAGAATTTAATGGTTTTTTTTTTAATTTCAAATTCTTAGGAAAAAAACAATTGAAATTTTCTGAGGGCAGTAGTATTGGGAAGGCATTGCCCAGCAGCTCTCTCTGGAAGCATTTTCCCTCCATCCACAGGTGTGTGTTTCTGAAGCGGGGCCCGTGAACGGTCTGAACGGTCTGCACATCCCCAGGGCGTTAGGAGAGGCAGTTTGCTGGAGTTACTGCAGGCAGGCTCAGCCTGCAGGTAGGAAGAGAAGGTGGTTTAAACTGGTAAATAAATGTTGAGTATTTTGCAAGTACGTTTATCCTAGCATAGTAAGGAAGAACATATTCAGAGGACATTCAGGTGGTAGTGATAGGTGTCCGGTGTTGCAAGCAACTGCATCTTTGTGCCTTTAGGCTGCACTAGTAAAAGTAAGCAGAGGAAAAGTAGACATGACCTCTTTTACTTGTGGAGAAATTCCAAGGGGTCAGGTTTGCAGTGGAGCCATCATTATCCTTGCCTCCTTTTCTTCTCACTTAGAGGGTCATTTATGCCCATTTCCTGAGTTAATCAAGCTTATTTAAAGCTAATCAAGCTTATTTAAAACGAACTAATAATGCTGTAGTCATGAGCCTTTTCACAGCTCTGCTGAAAGCTGAACAGCTTTTCAGGTAGCAAGCTGCTGCCACTGGCAGAAACCAGTTCAGTTCCCAGCAGAAAGAGAAAGCCCTTAAGCCTCAGGAATTTCTGTAGCTCTACAATATTTTCAGGACATCCATTCTGGACCTGAGCTGCAGACAAGAAACACTTCTGCTGCCAGCAGACAAGTGCTGGGGTTTATTAGGAGACAGTGAGGAAGATGGGACCAGGTTCTTTTCAGGGGTGGCCACCGATAGGACCAGAGGAAACAGCCACAAACTGAAGCACCAGAAGTTCCACAGAAACTTAAGGAAAAAATTCTCGACAGTGAGGGTGCCAGAGCCCTGGCACAGGCTGCCCAGAGAGGTTGTGGAGTCTCCTTCTCTGGAGATCTTCCAAACCCTGGAAACCCTGGACGCAGCCCTGTGCCCCGTGCACTGGGTGACCTTGCGTGTGCAGGGGCTTG